CTACGTACTGTCATGGAAACACCCATGGTAAATAGTCAGAAATGACCGATCGCGCAAAAAAGATCTAAAACGTCGACATTTGATGAAATTTTAACATGTCCAAAAAACAGTGATCGCAATAGCCACCTAGCTCAAGCTATGAAGCTAAAAAACGGTGAAAATTTGTACGTGTGGGGTAATTTCCCTTCCCCTTCTAGATCGATAAGGATACCATTTATCGATCTCTAATGGGAAGGGAATCCAATCGCTTGGTCCTGGAAAGTAAACTGTTCCACAGTTTCATATAAATGACTAGGCGTTTCGTGAAATGACGGATTTCACTAAAAGACTACGACATACATATATATCTGAAAACGAAATTGGCTGAAGTAACTAATTTTTTCGGAAAAAGACTGTTAATGTGGAAATGCGCTTTTGGAAATTAACTTGTTAATCTTACAGAACTTGGGAGAAATAAAGCAAAAACCAAAACCACTTCTGTGATAATATAATAACGAAACTCGGACCAGCAGCGTAGAATGCGGAAAATGCTGTTTTTGATCGTTGTGGCCATTCTACTAAAAATATCGCTGCTGTGTACCAGTAGTAACCGCTACTTGTACCTCCGTAACATTTCTCGTCGACCGATCTGCACATTAGCCAATGACTTAGCAAAGTATCGTAATTGGAAAAACCGATTTCCAATGTGAATACCTACAGACGTCATGAGAGCTTTATGGAAGGAAAATCTAAGAACACGATTCCTATGTTTACTTATACATACTGTAGTTCCTTTGTTCTTCCACATTATGTTGTCTTATGTTGCCACACCTTATATCTTGTAAATTTCGACAGTGAACATAAAATATGCGCATTTTTAGGACTGCAACACAAGATAGTAGACGATATTAAAGTGCACTAAAATCTGGACTAATATTTCGTAGTTTGACATGCCGCTTCAGACTAGAAGATAAATTTGTTTTGGTTAATCTGAATCTGTAATAAATTTTCAGGGACAGAATCTGGCACCCAAACAATTAATCTAGTTCAAGTAAATGTGTTGTGTGTATACTCTATGTGCATTCTATTCGGCGGCGTTTAGATAGGTTATTGCACGACTATTTGGAATTTGAATTATGCCTTACTGCTTCTGTAGTTTATTACAATTTGAATGTATACACATCCGGATAAATTAGTGCGTGAATCCACGCAAAAAATGGGAAACTGCTGGATATATTGAATAAACCTTCCCCAATTCTAGGTTATTATTATTAATTTATGATAAACGGAGGAGGAAAATCAGTGTATATACGGCATTTTCATTTGCTTCCTGATTTCGAATCGCAATATTTAGTTAGCGTTAATGTAAATACGGAATATACAGCCTCGCTTTTTTGCTTAGTGTAGGTAATGTAATTTCGACAAACTGGTATACAGAATCCAACGAATCTGTCAGTTAAAATAAATTGCGTTTGAAATTTTTTGCTGGATACATTTTTTTCAACTGTCTAAATAATTTTCAATATTTTTAATCGTGCGTTTGATTCCATTTTTACTGGTTAGTGTGTTTGATTTTTTGAGGTTTGTGTACTTAAAGCAGTGGTTAATGTGGTGGGACAAGCACAAAAAATACTGTTTGGAAACTTTACGGGCTTGTAAAGTTTGTGTCAACAAAATGGAACAATCAAATAATATTGAAAAAATACTGTTGTAATGAAGGGAATATGGGACAACTGATTTGTAGATAAAAAAATTGGTTTGTATCAGTTTGCGGAATATTACAATCCTATAGATTACAGGCTGAATGAATAATAGGAAGTCACAACGACAAATTTAATTGTAATAGATTGGTTATTTTAGTTCTGCTATAAAGACGCATACTTATCACTTTCATTTGCAATTGTTGTGATATTAAACTAGTTAGTGATATGAACAATGCACTATCTAATTATCTATCACTTTTTCGTTATCTGCCAACCGAAATTAGTTAATTGAAATGGACACCTTCCGCTGCGGTCCTATGATTTTTAAAACAATTGACAAGGTGTCAACTTAAATGTATCCAATAATTAGGTACTAACAAACATTTCGAACCACATAGAAAATATGGAATAAAAATGGGAGCGGAAAAAATCCACACATTTTTTGTAACTGTCGGATTAATTACATAATGATGTGGCAACTACCCCTCATTTCTCTTTTACATTTAATTATAATCGATAAGTCGCTACATCAACATTCCGAAGTACATCGAAATAACACAAATTAATTGGATACTCTCTCGAGATCATTCGTCGCATTCATCAAAAACTGAATACACGCACATTAAAAATAAATACCAAACACCTCGATTAGCATTTATGAATAATTCTACTCCCAATGCAGTTGAAATGTCTTTCTGTAAATGTGGTGTTTACTTCAGCCCTTAAACTGGTTTCTTTCGAATCATGTGCGAAGGGACCGCTCAAAAGTTTAGATGACATTCGGCATCTTGGAAACGGTTTACATGTTGATCGTTAGTTAGCTGGCTGAAACCGGGAATATGTAAGCATATGGTCGACATACTGAAAAGTACGATTTTCCGTCATACGCTGTCAGGTCGCCAGTTATTTAGCAGCCTCGCCAATGCAAGGGCAGTTAAACCTGAATAAATCATCCCCTGAAACTGATATCTCTTATAAGCAAAAGTGGTTGCTTCAAAACTATTGTTTATTTTAGAACAGACTCACAACCACCTCCTTTCCTGCTGGTAGGACAAGATGTTCACTTAGAATAGGTTTAAAATGGCCACCAAAATTAGAGAAGGATTATTCTCAAGAATTACAAGGAAGCAAAACGCAAGGGAATCAAACAAGCTAGGCAAGCTCGACGCATCAGCATTTCCTGCATACTAACATAATTGACGTAAGTTAAAGAAGTGGTGTAAATAGCATGTACAGGCTTACAATAAACATTATCAGTTAACTTCGAACTGACGGTAACGTACCGAGTTTGAGATATCAGATAATCCCAAACCGAATTTACTTTATGCCTTACAACCCTAATGCGAACGAGTATGCGCTGATCAAATTCTTGGAAATTGAAGAAGTCCAAACCCAAGAGGCAGGAAGATGGCCAATGCGAGGGAATGTATCAAAGAAGCAACAACACGGAATATAAATAACACTTATGCCGTAAGCCTGCCGCTGAAAGGAGAAGCTGAGGAATAGGAAAATACAATCGTCCGCCTTCTACAGATGGGATCCAGATACAAGGTTTTCCTACGACAGTATGAAGGGCTGAGACATATAGTACCTCGAAGTGCAGGGGAGGCACCTGCAAAATACTACATTCCTTACCATGCGGAAAGCTTTACCACGACATTACGAGTGGTGTTTGACAACTCAGCCACCTCATGTTCAGGAAAAAGCCAGAACGAGATGATGGTCCAAAACTAGAAGGAGATTTGTGTGGAAATGATCCAGATTAACGGCAAAATCTAAGGTGTCCCCGATAAAATTGAAGAAAACCCTACCGTTTTGTGGGGCAGCATTGGCGGCCAAGATGTTAACAAGAACCTAACAAAACGTCAACCTCAAGACATGTCACTATTAGTAGGGGGCAGATAAACGATGTTGAATTATAACCTATAACGTTTGCATCATACATAAACCAGAAAACAGTATTTATTGATTTAAAGGTATAATTCTGGTAACGTACCGATTTTGATTTTGGTGGAATATTTAAATTAGGTGCTTTATCTGAGCACAACGTTCCTAATTTTTCTTGTCATAAATCTACCTATACACAAATTGAGTTTTGCACCAATTAATACTACATTGTTTATTCAATCGAACCACACAATCCGTAACGGGCATTTATGTACCTACAGAAAGAAAGAGAGAGGAATGATCGTAAAGTGAAGCAAATTTAATTTGTTTATCCACTTGTAACATGGCAACCGTAGGTAGATATCGTAAATACAAACATATTTGAACCGACACTTTATAAGTTTATGCATATCTTTTCTGTTTATTATAAAATTACAATGGAGGATTGAGGTACGCCACTGGTAAATAAATGCGAGCAGCTGATGGAATAAAGAAAAAGTAACACGGCACAGTTTTGACCAACAATAATACGGCTGCCACCCAAAAATTGCTCTTGATAAGATATTATCGGTCCCCTTTCGTCCATAGTCATAGTCTAAGTTTAAGGGAAAGCAAGAAGGGTAAGTTTTATACAACGTGCTATTATAACCCGAGGAGAACTGTAAGTCAACGAGTCAGTAAGCAAAATCACCGAGCAGTGGCGTACCGACGTGAAGGTAACATTTTCAATCCTATACAGCGCGAAACATCTCATTTTTTCACCGACAGCAAACCTAATAGTTAACCAAACATTATCTGCGTAATGATATCCGGATTTATTGTTTAAATCAGATAAATTTGTGTCACGCGAATGCGAAATAAGAAATAGTTATAGAGTGCACTGGATATCTTCTTAATCTTTGTATAGTTTAGACAGTCTAATGCGATCCCTGAAATCTCTTGGGCGACTAGTTGACACTGTAGAGAGATCCCTATCATACTTACCATAAGGGTGAAGTAAACGCGTTCTAAAATTCCCTTGTCGGCTTTTATGAAAAGTAATTAAGCTAACTAACTATAAATGCATAATTTAATCTATACTCTGTTCATTAATTTATTATTCATTTGGAAATTTTTGTTTTGACAAATCTCTAGATTTGGATAGAAATTCAGATTACTACAACTCTGCAGTTGCTAGATTTATCTTAGAGCCGGGTACTCTTCTTTCTGATATCCCTCTACTTACTACAATAACAGCACATTTACAGATGTGGTAAAAGTTTTAGATGCGAAACAGGTAAAGTACCTGTAACGTGCGATGCGTATAGTAGAAAGGCAGGTATAAGACTATTTATTGAGTATGGAAAATACAAGTGATAAAATTCAACCTTCATTCTAATATCTAACCCAACACCCCTTAATTTTAAAGTAGAAAAATTATATAAATTAAACTTATTTCCTAGGTCTTAAATAATATCGTTTACCTTCCGTAACCGAGCTTTCAGCAACACAGGGTGTTTGATTTATGTCAGTCAGGTTACTAGAAGACGAATGTTCAGTTTCTGGTTCAGGAAGGGCCAATGAATCACGAATCTTTAAAGGGATGATTTGATCAATATGTCTTTTAAAATTTTCTTTCGATTGTGAAGCAACTTCAAAAACTGAACTCCCTTTTTGCGTTTCTATTGTACCTTCCTGCCAGGATGGTTTTAAAGGATTAGAAAAATCTCTAAAAAGTACATTATCTCCAATTTCTACCCTCTTATCTTTACCTCCATAATTACGAATTTGCCGTTGTTGATTGCTCTGTACAATATCTGCCGTGTAAGGCCTCACTAAATCTAAACGAGTACGCAAGCGACGACCAAACATTAATTCTGCAGGTGACTTGTTTGTGGTTGAGTGTAACGAATTTCTATAATCGAAAAGAAATTTTTGTAATCCGAAATCGTAACTTTTGTTTTCGTGTAAACATTTTTTGAAATATTGCTTAACTAATTTAACAGAATTTTCTGCTTGGCCATTGCTACTTGGATGATATGGTGCAGTTAAAATATGAGTAATTCCATTACAATGAAAATAATTATGAAGTTCGACGGAATTAAATGGCGGGCCATTATCACTACAAACAAATTTAGGTAATCCAAATCTAGCAAATATGGATCTAAGTGCCTCGATGGTTTTTTCTGCAGTCGTCAAATTCATTTTTAAAACTTCGAGCCACTTAGTATGTGCATCAGTAATTACCAAATATTTACTACCTTTAAATGGACCTAAAAAATCTAGATGAATACGTTCCCACGAATTTTGAGGCCATTTCCAGATGTGTAGTTCGGTTTTTTGAGGTAGTGGACGAACAGAGTTGCATGCTGCGCAGTTTCTGCATAAATCTTCTATCTCGTCATCGATGGTAGGCCACCAAACGTAAGATCTTGCCAAAGATTTGCATTTATTAACTCCGAAATGGCTACTGTGGAGTTCTTTCAATGTGGAAGATTGTAATATTTTTTGTACAATAACTCGATAACCCCACATCAAACAACCATGCTCAACATGCAGCTGCTCTCTACGGATAAAAAATGGCTTTAATTCAATTGAATTAGCAATTTCAGACCAACCAAAATTAGTAAACCCAACAATTTTATTTAATAAAGAGTCTTTACTAGTTTCTTTGGCAATTAATTTATAAGAAACTGGTAACCCTTCTTCAAATAAAACAATTGTCCGAAATCAACACTATCGTTGGGTACTGGACCTTCGGATAAGCGTGATAAAGCATCGGCACACGCATTATTTTTAGAATGCACAAATTGTATGTTAAAATCGTATGCCGATAGCATTATCGCCCAACGTTGCAAACGGCTTGCTGCCATCTGCGGAATTCCCTTTTTAGACCCAAAGATCGACACCAATGGTCTATGATCGGTAATTAGCGTAAACTTCTTACCGAACAGATACTGATTAAATTTTTTTACGCCAAAAATTATACTTAGCGCCTCCTTATCAATTTGGCTGTAATTAGTTTCGTTTTGTGATAACGAGCGAGATGCGAAGGCAATAGGACGAATATCTCCATTTGGAAAATTGTGTGAAATTACAGCGCCAATTCCCTTCGCACTTGCATCACAAGATAACGTTATTGGTAAATCCGGGTCGAAATGCGTTAACACTTGCGGCGAACACAATAAGTTTTTGATAAGTTCAAAAGAATTATTACAGTCTGCAGTCCATACCCAAGGCGTATCTTTTTTAAGCAACTGATATAAAGGATAAAGAACTGCACTTAGGTTTTTAATGTATTTGCCGTAATAGTTCACCATTCCCAAAAAACTTTTTAATTCGGTAACACTCGCGGGTATTTTCACATTCTGGATCGCTCGAATTTTGTCCTTGGAAATGTGTAAACCGTCCGCGTCAACTACGTGTCCCAAATAACTTACACTTTTCGCAAAAAAATAACACTTTTTTGATTTAATTTTGAGCCCCAACTCGTTTAATTTATTCAGAACATCACGAAGTCTTACGAAGTGTTCTTCATCCGACGAGCCTGTTATTAATAAATCGTCCAGAAAAACGCACACACCCTCACTATCTTTGAATATATTTTCCATTATGTTTTGGAAAATACTAGGAGCTGAAGCGATGCCATATGGCAATCGATTATATTGAAACAGTCCGCGATGGGTATTAATGGTGCACAATTTCTTTGATTCTTCGTCTAACAAAACTTGCGCGTAAGCTTGGGACAAATCAATCTTACTAAACTTTTTACCACCTTTTAATTTTAAAAAAAGTTCTTCGATTTTAGGTAACGGATATTGATTAATATTGAGATTAGGATTCACAGTCACTTTAAAATCTCCGCACAACCTAATGGATCCGTCCGTTTTTATTACAGGAACGATTGGAGTTGCCCATTCGCAATAATTAATAGGAGTCAATATACCTTCATTAACCAATCTGTCTAGTTCATAATTAACTTTTTCCTTTAATGCGAAAGGTAACGGTCTAGATTTTCGAAAAACGGGAATTGCGTTTTCTTTTAAAAGCAACTTCGCTTTTACGTTCTTCAGAGTACCGAGGCCTTCCGAGAAAACATTGGGAAATTCCTTGGCCAACTGTTCCTGCAGATTATCAAACGTGCTTATCGCATTCACGTTTGAAAATAAAATTGGAATATCCAATTCTTTACACCATGTCCGACCTATCAAAGGTGGTCCCCCATTATCTACCACGTACAGTCTCAACACTTTACTAACACCGTTATAAAAAGCGTTTACTTCAATATAACCATTGGGTATTACGTAATCACCAGTGTAAAGTTTTAATTTTAAATTTGATTTAAAAATTTGTTTATAGGGAAATAATTTATTTACTAAATTTGAATTAATTACCGATATTCCTGAGCCCGTATCTAGCTCCATTTTTAATTTAATATTATCAATCATCATATTAAGAGTAATTGGTTCATCACCGACTTTATTTCGTAAACTGAAAAATGTCAGCTCTTCAGAATCCTCTTCAGTTTCAATGTCCACAAAATTAGTACGCCTCATGTGCGGGCGCCTATTATCCGATTTGGGACACACGTATCTCAAATGACCACGTTTGTTACACCTTGAACACATTGCACTCCGATAAAAACACTGAGAACTAGGGTGATTACTACGCCCACAGTGTTCACAAGACTCCCCTTGGCACGTTGCATAAGTGTGTGGTTTTTGAGATGGGTTTTTACTCCCTGATGATGATTTTTGATTTTGAATTTTCTTTGCGCGCTGCTGAGAACTCTGCATTCTATTAATATTACTGTCACGAGCCTCCACCAACATTGCATCTTTCGCGGCCGTTTCAATAGTGATGGCAATTCCATAGGCTTTTTGGAAGTTTAAATGGGCCGCTTTCTCTGTAAATAAGCGCTGAATAATGACGTCGTTGCGTAAACCAAACACTAGTTGATCTCGCAAATTTTCATCTAACATAGGACCGAAATTACATGTGCTGGCTAATTTCTTAAGATGAATTACATACTCCGATATAGATTCATCAGTCGCTTGTTTGCGTTGCCTGAATTTATAACGCTCTGCTATCACCGAAGGTTGCGGATTTAAGGGGTTTTTTAAGATTTTCACTAACTGATCGAAATTTTTTTCTTCGGGTTTATCGGGAGCGCACAAGTCAACCATTAACTCATACGTTTTGTCCCCCACCACAGATAACAAGACGGACACTTTCCGCACTTCTTCGATGTTATTTGCAATAAAAAACTGATTAACACGTGCAATGTAGGTTTGCCAGTTTTTTCCTACTGGATCAAATTCTGGTATTTTGCCGATTGACATTGTAACTAAATAAATTCCTCGTCGCCACTTGTAACGTGCGTGCGTATAGTAGAAAGGCAGGTATAAGACTATTTATTGAGTATGGAAAATACAAGTGATAAAATTCAACTTTCATTCTAATATCTAACCCAACAGTACCTATCTAACTCATTTCAGCTACTTTGAAAGGTAAGCCTTTGTTCCTTAAAAGAACTTTACGCAGATATTAGGTGTACTAAGCCTCAAGTTTGTGGGGCTTCGTTTATTTTCGTAAATACAAATTTGCAAAGTGAAATTCAATATTGCTGTGTAGATTGTAGCCCATAATGAACTTGACTGTATCCCAGGCGGATATTAATATAGCAGCGGCCTTTGTGTTAAAAAATGTAAACGGAAATTTAAAAACTTTTGTGAAACAGTAATCTACTGGGGGATTTGGAAAATTCATTGTTCCGTCGGAATCAAGATGGACCAATTACACAATTCTTTCCAGTAAGATATTAAGTACTGGAGAGGCGATTTATATTAACGACGATGCGTATAAGCGTTTGTCATTTTTATCGCGTACAGTATTGATCGCGTACACAACACAGCATTCGGAAGAATACTAGATTCCTAAATTCCGCAATTGTCTTAAGACCACTCTTAAGAGAGGTGAAAGTAATTAAGGAACACTTTAAGGAGATTGAGATGTATGCTTCCAAACTTTGGCACGAAGGAATGGAAACAAGAAGTATAATTTGCGATCCTCCTGTGATGTCGGCAGTTTGGAATTAGAAGCGCTAGCGGGGGCTTTTAGACTCTGAAAGCGAGCTGCGGGCAACTTTTTACAGCATTGCGGTTACCACTTAAGTGTACTATACTAGCACCGTTTATATGGGTTTTAGCAAATAGCATGGCATGGACGTTTATTGAAATAATTTGAAATCAATAGAACACACGGTCCGTAAATAACTATTATGTAAAATTTATGGGGAATATGAATTTGTCATTCCAAAAACAGCCAATGTTCACCATCGGTTGTACCATACCGTAACTTTGAATTTCCGATTTATGTAGGTACTATATTCTATCATAGGTTCACACCACACCCTCCCATACTCCCATACATTTTACTATGGCCTTTTGTTTCTCATTCTTTGTAGATGTTCGAATCATCTTAGCTGCGTCCACTGGACTAATTCTTTTATGCCTTCCGCTTCTCTCTCACAGTTTTAATTTCGTAACCTATGAATTCTGTTGCAGTGTTGCTTCCCTCTTCTTAAGTATTTCATGTAATTTTCTCTGTTGCGTTTGATAATACCAAAGTGTCCATATGTTAGTATTGGCCTAAAAATTCTCCTGTATGTATTTTCACTTTAGAAATGCTTACTAATTTCTATTTACAATGAAATTCGATAGTTACAATATTCTCAAAACACATAACTATATCTAATCATTTTTTTGAATTGAAATTGTATTAAATAAATACAAAGAGCATTTAGCGAATTCAAATGAATGCGGCAACTTCACATTGATTTTTTGAGCACAAGGCTTTTTTAGAATTTCTTTTAACTTTAGATATTTGGTGTTAAGACCATATTGGATGATTTTACTGCATATAAACAGGTTTTTATTTTTTTGTAAATGTCCCTTATCAACTTATCAAATAAAGTTTTTACATATTTTAGGATCTCTTTTTTACTGCATTTTTTTAAGAATTAAAAAAAACTGGTTTTATCCTTCATGGTACACTAATGAAAGATCTCAACGAAAGGAATTATTTCTACCAACCATAGTCCTCTTAAGTATAGTATTCGATATAGAAGCAGATTACGAGTAGAGCGGGCCCCATCAGGCATTAATCAAGTAATTATGTACCGAGCACTGGGACTTGGGAAGTATTTCTGTCTGTTCGCCTGCCCGTGTGCACGATAACTTCGTTTAGTAACGTTCGATCGCTTTAAAAATTGATACACATGTTCTTAAGGTGCTCGCTGGTTTAATATCAGAGATAGGCGACTGTTTACTGCGGCCTGTCTGTGCCATAAAATTGTTTGGAACAAGTCTCCTCCATATCTATACCGCACCATATCGTTTAGAACTGATGTCCATAATTTGAAAGAGGTGGGATTATTCCATCCTCTCATCATACAGAAATATTCATAGTTATGACATTTTTAAAGTATACACATCCGTCCCAGATCCGATCAAGCCTGAGGCAGCTCCACATGA